GGTATCCCAAGATGGCCACAAAACAAAGGCAAATCTCTTGCCTTTTCCTCCATGGGTTGGGATCATGGATCTGTGCAACCAGGAATAAAACTTGTCTCACTTCATGGCTCTGATGAGAAATGTCATAAATTAGTACTCAGTGTAAAGCCTTCCCTTCTGTATCATTTCTCATTTCACTTGACTATAGAGAAATCGGCTTTATTTCCAAAATGTATGATGTTAGTTAAAATGCAGCCAGGTTCCCAAAAGTTCACAGAATCCCTTGTAGGTCTCCACAGGTCTTCTGGCAGGCAGAGGGTCACTGCTCCTCCTTATTGGGAACAGGACCTGGTCGAGTGACTGCCAGAGCAGCATATACAGTGGGCTCCTCTGGGGCTTCTGCTGCCTGGGAGCGAGGAGGTGCAGCTGTCCCCTGATTGAGTGACCTGCTCCACAGCTGGGCATAGACCACATCTTGGGGATCCTCAGATTCAGCAGCCTGGAGGGGGAGAGAAGGAGAGGAAGGTACATGCTTGACTTACAGGATGCTGAAGGCCTGGGGAGTACAGGACCAACCTGAGTGTCTGTCTCTCTGCCCTCTTCTGCTTGTTCTTCTTTTGTTTCTGGGACTTCTCTTGACATGACAGAAGCTAGGACAGCTTCTGCCCTCCTCAGCATGGAGTCTTTCACTTGGGCATATGTCTGTTGCTGGGGCTGTTCCTCTGGTGGTCTCTGTAGCAGGCAAGAGGTACAGATAATGTTCCCCTGTTCCCCTCTGACTTTTCTCCTGCCAGTTTTCCACAGCATGGCCAGAGTGACCCCTTTATGTGACAGCATCCCTGATGGGGTCTTCTAGGGCTTCCTTCCTACAGTTCTGGCCTCTTATCCTGACACTCTAAACCTTGCTGTCTTGGCTGTACCCACAGATCCCATCTTCCTGAAAACACATTTCTGGGGTCTTAAGAGATGGCTCTGTGTTTAAGAGCACTGACTGCTATTGCAGAGGACCCAGGTTTGGTTCCCAGAACCCACATGGTGACCTGCATTCTTCTGTAACTCTAGTTCCAGGGTATCTGATGCTCTTTTCTGGCCTCTGGAAGCATCATGAAGGCAGGTGGTGCAGAGAAAAAGTAAAGGCAACCCCCTCCCTCACAATAAAATACAACACTAAAACACATGTGTCTGCCCAAGTTCCTCTGTTCCTGCCTGCAGTTGCTGGTCCCTTAGCTGTTTCTGTGGGCTTCTCCATCAAGGCTGCCCCCTCAGATGCACAGATGCCAAGGAGTCAGAAGGCAGACGGCAGCGATAACACACATGATACCAGGAAACCCAGGTCAGAGTGAGGCCATAGCACACAGGAGCCAGATAGTTGCAGAAGGGAGTCGTCAGCTATGGATGATGTTGAGGGCCAAGCGAGGGAGGAAAAAGAAGGCAGCCTGGACTAAACTAGGACCTAAGTTCTTAGCACTGCAAACAGGGACAGGGACCTCACCAAACTGTCCAGATTGACACCATCCTCAGGTTTCATGTCCTCCACTGAGGCATCTGTCATAGCAGAAAAAACAGAATGACCAGAGTCTAGGGATGTCTCAGATCTCTAGTTTCCTGCCAAGTCCAAGGGGGCACAGAGAACCTGGGAGTGTGGTGATATCCCTGTGTTCATAGTGTGAAGATCAGACCCAAACAGCTAAGACCTCAGAACCTCTTCACCACCCCAGCAATGCTGAGACCTCAGACTCCACCCCCAGGACCCTCTGTATCTCACATAGGATTTCTTCCTGGGTGGCAGCAGCTGGGTTGGATCTGGAAAGACAGCAGGAGGGGGGGGGTCTATGTCCCTGGCCATGAGTTACCTCTTCTGGAGGCCTCTGTCTCTGGTTACTGTCTCTGCAGCTCCTGCAGGAAGCTGCAATTCTGTCTCTTTCTGGGCTGCAAGAGAGAGAGGAGTCTCAGGTATTGGGGAGGGCTCCCCCTGACATGTACAGGGAAGGAAGGAAGGGATCTTTACAACAGGGGTGAGTGAGCAAATGTCCCAGGACATGGAAAGCTCACAGAACCCCTGACATAGCACAGGTTCTGAGATCACGTGCTCTCTGATCTGAGATCTGCCAGTGTTTCTAGACTTCCCAGTCCCAGTTTGAGGAACCCATCACCACCTGAGACCTAGGTCACCCACAATGCACTCACCATCCTTCCTGAACTTTCCCTGACGCCTTCTTCGGAGAAGGAGAAAGATGAGAATGGAGAGTAACAGGAGGAAGGCCACAGAGACTCCGATCAGAGCCTTCAGGTACATTTCCAGGCCTGAGGAACAAGTGACATCATGAGTAGGGACTGTTGATGCTTATCTGAGCACCTACTGTGTGACAGAGCCATGGTGGACCATTGCCCTCATCATCTCCCATCCTCACAATCATGCAACAAGCAATCGTCTCTTCTTCTATCCCCACAG